GTCTATGATAAAATATTTCTACTTGATATGGCATCTTGAAAAATGTCTGTGGCGACAAAGGAGAAAATAGTCTTACCTTGAAAAAGAATTGGTATCCTCTGTTCTGATTGATAAAAATAAATCCAAAATCAAGTTCAGGTGGCTTATGGTCATATCATGTTGAAACATCGTTTTTCATATGAACACTGAAGTTGAGCAACATCAAGCCTTGGCAGTAGCTAGATGGGTGACCCGTAAGTTTGGATGTGTAGATGGCATAATGGATAACAGCTCGGAATTGGAAATCAGTCAAGTTCTAATTCCAGTCAAGTTCGTTATATTCACTTATGCACAAATACCCTTGGGAAAGGTATGAATCAACCTCTTCTCCAACCAGTTATGGGTTAATTAATTAGTAGTTGTATCAGTAAAGCATTATTTTTTTAAAAAATTCTTACAATCTAAAAATATTTTCTGGCTTTAATTTAAAAAGCCTGCAAAAGGTTGATAAGCCATAAAAACAATCAATCAGTCAAGATCTGCTCTAGTTTAGCAGGCCTTCAAAGATGATAGAGTTTTGGGCTTTTCTATCAGTCTCAACATATCACAGCATTTCTTACCCCAATAAAAACATTACTTTGGATGACAACAACAACAGACTCTGTTCTTTGTGATTTAAAAAGACAGTTGTTGTGAATACAGATTTTTGAGCCCTTATGATTTACACCTCTGGTAAATTTGAAATTGAGACTGATTTATAACCTTTGGAATTATTGCACCAGATTTTTGAGTTGGGATCTATAGTGGAACACACCTATTCTATAGTTAATAGACTCTCCCACCTATAATAAGTAGGAGTAGTAGCAGTTGCTCAGGGGGTCGCTCAGTCAGTCGATGTCCGACAACCGTTAGTCGGATGCTAAAAGTATCAGCGACCACAACTAGATTTCTCTGCGTCATTACCTATTATATCAAGTTCCTAACGTTTTGTACGTCGAACCTATTTTAGGACCGACTTAGTACAAATACAAGCCTCCACTGTGAAACCACTCCACAACAGGATCTAAAATCAAATTCCCCTCTCCATTTCTATTTTCCCCCACAATACCCTTGTAGGTTCCTAGCATAGAAATTTTAACAACTTCAAGAATAAAAATGCTTTTTGTTTCAAATTAAGGCAAAATAAGATAAGATGAACAAAATTATTCTTTAAAATTGAACAAATTTTAACATCTTATGTCTTAATTTTTTTTTTTTTTTTTTTCTTTTTTTTTTTTAAAAACCTCTCTTGTGCATTGACTGTTGGTGTTCTTTGGGCAAGTTCAAGAGAACTTTTTGAGCATTCATCTTCAAGATATTACCAATATTCTTGTGGGCAAAGGCATAAAGTAAATTTCATAGCTATCTGCTACCCCACCCCAATCAGGTAAAGGTAATTATTAACCATTTCTTCAAGAAGATACATGCATGTATGAACTGCTGACTATGAGATTATGTACTTTCTCCCAGAAACCTTAACTAAGGTCTATTCAGCATAATTACAGTATAAACCACAGGTGGGCTATGTGTTCAACAACATGAATATGAACTGAGCAGGTGTCTGCAACAGAGGATTGTCTTCTCTCTTTTTCCCACCCCAGCAGATAGGGTGTACTTGCAACTGAGTAACAAGCCATTATTGTGTGTATATTTTGGTAGCATATTTTCATTCAAGCATATTTGTTTGAATAATTTAGATGTATTATGTCTATTTTAGTTTCAATCCTTTCAAGTCCATGAATTAATTTCTTGGTGGCTGTAGAAAATTAAGAAAAATTCCAAAATTTTCTTTCAAATAATTTTTATTTTCCCAAGTACTCTCAATCTCATCTAAGACAGGGTTTGTATATCTATGTTAACACCATAAATTCAAAATTTTTTTATTTTTATTTTTACCTCTATGCAAGGGAGGTAACTTATGAGATTTTTTTTACCTCACAATCATTTGAAAGAAAATTTTTGAATTTTTCCTAATCAGTTTTTTTTTATAGCCACCAAGAAATTAATTTGTGGACTTGAAAAGATTAAAACTAAAATAGACATATGTCTAAATTATTTAACTAAACATGCTTGAATAATATATATATATATATATATATATATATATATATATATATATAAAAATTTGTAGTTTGATGAATTGGATCGTGATTACAATTCCAATGGAATATTAGTGTTTGAGCCTTTTATATTATATTCTTGCTCTATCCTGGATATTGAGCTCTACCTGGATTTTATCCTCTTGGAAATAAGGATGTTACAACGGAAACATGTCAAAATCACCATGCTATTACAGTGTTTTGATGGCGTATCCATGCATCTCATCAAGCGTTTGTAAATTACTCTCTTTTTTTTTTTTCTTTTTTTTTTTTTACCTGGATGGAGATATATATACACACACACTTAAGGAATAATTAATCAAACCCTTTGATAAATATTACACAAAACTCACCCAAAAGATTGAAGCTTTTATTAATTTATTGACCACTTTCTTAAAAAAAAAAAAAGTCTGCATATGCTAAATTTTTGGTTTTTATTGACTGTGTTACACACACACACACTGTTTGTCCCTAGTGGCTTGTTAGACAAAACATATTTCCACAATCTGTAACCTACCATATTTTGGTGCTTATAAGACTCATTTTTTTTTTTCCTATAAAATATCTCCAAAACCACTCTGCTCCCGATGAATCGAAGGTCAGTTAAGGAAGTTAGCATCTCTTTTAATTATTACATTAAAAAGAGCATAAATTTGGTACTTCTTGGTCTGTGATGAATTCCTCATGATTAGTCAAGTTTTCTGAAATATGCTATTGGGTGGGAGGCCTATGAAATACAAGGAAAAAAAACTTCAGATTTCTTCCTTCATAATTTGGAGGGGGCTAAAATGTATTTGAGCTTCTTATAAGCAACAGACTATAGTAAATCTTGATGAAAATCATTCTGCTTGATTAATTTCTGTGGTCTAGCATGTTCTGAATTTGCTATACTAGACTTTTTTGGACCACAGTTTGTCAAAATTTAGTGCTTTATAAATTCATTAAAATATAAGCAATGTTCAGTTTTAAAAATGGGCAAAAAAAAAAAAAAAATTGTTTCAAACTGACTCCAGGTTTAATGTTTAAGATGAATGGTTAAGAAAGCCTAGACAAACAATTTTCAGTTATTATAATTTATATTGCACAAATTGTATTTGAAATCTTATTACTTAATAGTATGACAAAAAACATTGTTAAAATTGATAAATTTTCTAACATTTTTGGTTCCTGGCCATAGCAAAACCTCTCCTAAACTTTGTCATTCAACTTGTGCAAATCTACTTTATTTCAGTTATTTGTCCAAAATTATTGGACTCTTGGAGAGTCCTGATGTTGAACTGAGGATTGTGGCAGGGGAGACAATTGCACTGATGTATGAACTACAAAGAGGAATTGATGAAGTAAGATTACAACAATGATTCTTTTCCTGTTTTTATTTACCATATATACATTTGAAGACCTAATTTTGAAGCTAATTTTAAGGGGGTCACATCATACACTAGATATAAAATTAGTGTATGTACTGCTGGACCTGGCTATGCCGTTGATCAAGTTATATATCCATTTACTGTAGTCAAAAAGTACAGCTGTATTTAAAATAAACATGATTTTAATAAAACTGATGTTTTATTTAACTGTATCCAATAATAATGCATGTAATATTCACATATTAGTATCGTATTATAAAATACACACATAGTAAATATCAATTTTTCCATTTTTTTTTTTTTTTTTAGGCTTATAAGATATTTAGCTGCTTCTCATTCAGTTGTTTATGGCTGTACATGTTTACGCAAATAATATAGCGTTATAACGATTCTGTTATCATTCTCCTTTTTGGAGATTTATTTTCTTTTTTCATTTGTTTTTTCCTTCATTATTTAAAATTCTTACTTAGCCTTGAAAACTTGATATTATATACAAATTCATGATTTTGTAATGTTTAAAAAACCCACTAAAATTTTATCCTTTTGCAGGAATTTGAAGGAGAGAACATGAGCAATTTGTGTGAATCTTTAAAGCATTTAGCTACAGATGGCAGCAAACATCGTGCCAAGAAAGACAGGCGTCAGCAAAGATCAACCTTCAGAGATGTCCTCAGGTCCATTGAGGTAAATTTTTTTTCTTTTTTTTTTTTTATGGATGGCTTTTCAGTTCCTATGATGGAGAAATTTGCACAATGTGCATCAACCTTGGCAAATTTGCTACTAAGCCCCCTGAACTGTTTTGTCAGGATTTTGGCAAATATTCTTTGGGACACTTTTTTAAAGGGTGGCAAGTGTGTTTCAAGGTTGGTTGAGTATTCGTTAAAGATGAAGAGGGAGGGACCACTTACCAATGTAGGATGGAGAATGTGTCTTCATCCATTAGAACTGTCACTGAATGATCTTTCTTTTTCTCCATGAAGAACTCTGGCTTGAATGCACCTTGCTGCTTTTACAGCTCTTGATACTCTGGATTTAGGCTTGCATCTGTTGACCACAAACCCACTTTTTTGGGGGGTGGGGGTGGGGATGAACTAATATTAAAACCATGCACACACACTTTTTTTCTTTTTATTTCATAGGTAAATTGATATTGACCGACTGATTTGTTTTTTTTATGGCTTAACTTTTTTTTTTTTTTCTTCTTCTTCTTGCTAGTAAACCCTGCATTAATCCAAGCGTGAGTGAGTTCAATGAAAGTGCAATCTGTCAAAAAACTTTGATAACCATCATCTTGTACAAATGAAATTTTCCTATTTTTTTTTTTAGTATGAATAATGTTACATTTTGTCTGTGCTGATGAAAGGCTCAGCAAGATTGATGTTGTTAATCAACCATCTAAATTAGGAGCCAAGATAAGATTGGCTAAAGAGACTAAAGCTAATGTTATTATTTTTATCTTCCATTTCAGGAGTTTGAATATCCTGCAGCCATGATTAAGATAGGATCAGAGTGCCTTTATTTAGACAGCTGGGCAAGGAAGAAACAGTACGACAGCTTTTGTCAATTGCTTGGCTCCGGGACGCACCAACATTTTCAGGTGACTTTTAAAAAAAATTTAAACTTTTTGAAATAATATATTCAAAAAAATAGATGGATTTCCAAAGCGGGTTTTCCATATTTGACACTACATAATCTTCCTAACCACACTCTTCTACTTGGATTGAATTTATGGCTGTACATGTTTACACAAAGAATATTGTGTTATAACAATTCTGTTATCAGTCTCTTTTCTGGAGATTTCTTTTCTTTTCATTTGTTTTTTCCTTCATCATTTAAAATTCTTACTTAGCCATGAAAACTTGATATTATATTCACCAAAAGAATTGAGGAAAAAATATTTACTTACTACATTTTTAAAAATTTTTTTTTTTTAAATGTCCTCAATAATCAAACTGCAGAAAGGAGATTGCCAACCCTCACCCCATTATATTAGAGTGGCTGTACATGTAGCTTAGCCATCAACATCCCCCAAAAAAGGATTGGTCTTTGCACAAACATCATTAGGAAAGATATGAATTTTAACCTAATAGGTCAAATAGCAGGGCAGAATGAGCTTTTTAGCCTTGGCTGGCTGCTGCTGAACTAGGAGAAGGACATCTTTGAATTTAAAACCAGTTGGGCATGAGCTAATAGTTTCACTCTGAACAAAAATGTTTTGAATATTGAATAAATGGGTAGGTTGAAATAAGGACACTGAAGTGGATTTTTCTCAAAAATGAAAAATAAATAAAATAATAAAATAAAAAAAAATAAATAAAATAAATATAAATAATAAAATAAATATAAATATAAATAAAATAAAAAAATAAAAAAAATAAATATAAATAAAAAAATTAAAAAAATAAATATAAATAAATAAAATAAATATAAATAAAATAAAAAAAATCACTCTGGCTTATTTATTTGAAACTCAGAGGTACAACAGTAAAATAATTCCTGAATCATCCATGTAACTTCTTTATATACAAAGGTGAAACAATTAAAATATATATTTTACAATCTTTACTATCTAGGAAAAATTTGTCAGTAGTCAGTTTATTCTACCTGCCATATGTATGGATAATCTTTTCATAGCTTAAAAGAAAAAGATTCCATTTGTCCTTGGTATTTTTAGAACAGAAAAATATACTATTGAAAAATAGAAAATACATTGTTCAGGAAAATTGTTTTATCAAAGCACATATAGTAATACACTATTTCTTCATAAAAACAAAAGTTTTAAATCTCTTGGGACTAATAAGTATGCATAGAAAATTTGAGGGTTTTACAGGAAAGGACTTGGCCATGTGTATATCAGGGAAACCCTTCTCAATCATTGGTCAAATGACAGTTTTAACATCAAGAATATTTTTGGCATTGTGAAATTTTTGTTTTTGGTCAGTTGTCCTATGAGCTGCTTGTAAATTTAAGGGAGCTTTCATCACATTACTAAAACCAACTTCTCATGCTTTTGTAATCCATTGCCAAAGATGCAGGAAAATGCAATGGTCGGCTTCCTGTACCACTCCAGTAAGTACCTGACCCCCACATGCTGTGCCATACCTTTACAATAGTCAGATCAGGCTGAAATGGGAGTACTGTTGTCATATTTAGACAGGAGCTGGCCAGTCCTCTCTTTCCAGTCTCAATAAAATTCAAATGCATATCTGAGCCCCTTTTCCACCCACAGCTCTCTCTTACAGGTGGGATGTGGTAAGCCTCTCACTGCTCTCTGGAAAATGCTCAGACGTACTACATTCATTGATACTGCCAGGTCTAACCTTCATGATTGTGACCCACCATGCCACTCACATTGTAGCAAACCACCCACACTCCTTCCATATTCCATCTGTGAGAAGTCAGTTTCATTTGAACAGCTTCTTCCCACAAAGCTACTGCTCTGGAACTTCCAAGAGCATGTTTCCCTGATCACTACACTCTTAACCTGTTAGTCAAGAGTTAACTATTATCTCCCCACTCCTATCTGTATAAACTGCCTCTTGATGTAACCCTCTACCATGAGCCTTACTACATAATTAAAAAAAAAAAATAGCTAAACGAAAATGCCAATTTAAAAATATCCTTGGGTGTCTGACACTCCTGATCAGATTGTTCAGTGATGAATTATATCTTTTAAATAGGCAGTTATTTTAAAAATTTGCTTTATCCATAAAAAGCCTCCACTCACACGATTTAAGCTGGGCAGTGCAAAAAGTGTTTTAGGAATTACTTTTAATAACTATTATCTTCAGAAACGATAAAGATTGTTCAACACCAAACAAGATTGGTATGATTCTTGCACGTTTCAAGTGTCTGGCCGATACAAAATATTAGGAGGTAAACCATTCCTAGTTCGAAAAACATGAAGTCGTGGACCCAAAAAAAGTGAATTTGTAAAACTTTTAAATTGGCACTGAGCGATGTTTTTATGTAATTTATTTTCACCACATATTCCATTGTGCCAATTGGTTTGCATTTCACAAAATATTAGTAATGGAAGTAAGGAAATGTGTTCACTGGGCAGGAACCTCCCCCTCAATACTCCCCCCCCCATAAATCTGCTTTTTTATTCTAACCTATCCTTTTATTTTGGGCTTGAGAGTATAAGGAACTTTAAAAGAAACAAATCTAATTCAGTTGTGCTTATATCATTTTCTTTTTTAAGGTAAATTTGTTGCTTCGAGATGTCTTTGATCTTGGTGCTCCACCTTTGGTTGTAGACAGTCCAAATCAGAGAGCAAGGAAAATGACCAAAGGGGAGAGGGTAAGTTAAAAAAAAAAATTTATACACATTTACTTATTTCAACAATCTCTTAAAACTTCATGCCTTGTTACTTTACTACCTGCTGATCCATCAATAATTGATTTGGTAAACTCATACTTTCTACACTGTTGGAATATAGTCGTTATGGGCAGATGCTGCTCTGTGACCAAATCCCTTTCCTATTCAACATTGGTTGATGCTTCATCCTGGTTAAAAAGCTAGGATTTCCAAAACAGGTTTTCCATATTTCACACTACACAATCTTCCTAACCACACTTCTCCCAATTTTGTTGAACAATGGATAACTGACTTTTTCAGCCAAAAGTATTGAAGAAAAAAATATTTATTTACACTATCATATTTCCCTATATTTCTGAGATGAGGTATTATATACACTATTTACATTGTTCAGACTATCGTCTTCATCTTTGTTGCCATATTTATCACAACGTTTCAGTCATCATACGCTCTGGCCGCCTTCAGGGGGTTGGAATGTCGAATTGAACCCTTTATTTCACTCACTGGGGTAGACTGTTCTAGTTCCACGTGCCATGTCTAATGGATGTCAGTTATCTACTGTTAATTCTCCTCTCAAGTTCTCCACTGCCTTAACCAGGTATTGAACTTGCACTCTTTGGGTCCTGTTACTGGACCTAACTTACGCCTTTATCCACTGTGCCATGTGTCTTCAAGTGACATCCATTAGACATGGCACGTGGAACTAGAACTAGAACTGCCAAGTGAAACAAAGGGTGAAACTCGACATTCCAACCACCTGAAGAAGGCTGGAGTGTACAACGGGTGAAATATTGTGATAAATATGGAAACAAAGATGAAGACGATAGTCCCAACAATGTAAATAGTGTATCATATTTCCCATATGCTAAAACATGTTTCTCCTTGAAAAATGTCCTTAAAAATCAATTTGTGTTTTAGCACTGAAAGGTCAAACTGTAGAGAGGAGATTGCTAACCCTCGTAAACCCCAATTAAGAAATACAAGTAATCATCCCCCCCCCCAAAAAGACATATTCATTCAGTAGACGATACCCTTCTATGCATTAACAAAATGGCAAATGTACTGCATTTATTGTATTCCCTGTTTTACTAAATTAGGTAATGTTAATTACTATAATAATACAAATGTATAGTCAATAACATATTCATACAATAATAGCAGACCTGGTAGTGAGAATGCAGAAGCAACAAATTGTCCATGCTCTTGAATGCAGCCCTGAAACATCAGCTGGATGGTGGATATAAACATGCCTTGTGGCAAGTACAAGTTATTATGACAATTGTGGATGTTTAACCAAATGGCTAATGTGCTGCATGAAGCCCAAAGGTTCTCAACCCTGCTCAATTCTCAAAATTTAACCAACCAAGCAGTTTTTTATTTTAGGGCTGCTTGTTTTTTTTTATTTTTATTTTTTTCCCAGCACCCCTTTGTGTGGTGTTATATAGGGTTTTTCCTTGTTATGCCTGCCAGTCAGGTTGGCTAGCCAGTCCTTGTTACAGATGCCAGCTTAAGCACCTTTTGTTTGTCCAACACCTACAGAGCCTACCTGTGGTTTATACAGCATCTATGCTGAGCGGACCTTAGTTACCATTTCTTGGAGAGAGTGTATAATCTGGCATGATCAACAGTTTGAACGAGGCTAGTATGCTCAGTCACGATGACTTCTAAATTCATTCTAGTCCAACCATTGATGGCTTCTGAATAGTTCCATTAGTCAGTGGTATAGTTTTCAGACACTTTCCAAAGGTGTTGCATGCTGGGATTACCTCCTGAAATCAATATATTCCTAACAAATGGTGAGGTTCAAACCTGGGTTTCGTGATCAGAAAGTGAATGTTCTATATTAACCACTCTACCCTCACCTCTTTCTTTTAATGACAAAAAATGTAGTGTTTATTGACTTACAAAGAAGTTTAACAATTTAAATTAAGTATATGTATCTGAAAAAAGAAGAAAAAAAATTCAAGAAGTTATACGAACATAAAAAGTGAGTACGTCTTCTGGAGGCACACAGTCTGAGAACAATCTATTTTCCTGTATAACATACTGACAGTGTCAGGCTGTTTTTTTTTTTTTTTTTTTTTTACTAAGTTGATAACAATTACCAACTGGTCCTGAGACTTGTGCTATCTTAGGTAGGATTTATTAAACAAATACAACAAAATTTCTGTCTCTGCTTGCAAACAAGTGCAAGTATCCTCAAAGAAGTGAAGTTACTCTTTGCTGATAAAAATGAAACAATGTGTAGCATCTTGCAAGTTCATTTCTAGAGATTATTGGCAACTCTGCAAGAGTGCTAAACAACAGCAAAACCTCAATCCTTCCTCGATTCAATCAATTTGAAGTCCTGACATCTACAGCAGATACGGTTGAATGCTTTGCTCGGAAATTCTCTTCCAACTTGACACATTTGATGTACCCACACCTGATTTCCCTCCTAGAACAGAGGCTCTACTGAGTGATATGTGCATAATTCTGTCACAGGTCTTAGATGTTATTTCTAAATTAGACTCCCATAAGGCAAGCAAAGGTGACGGGATTCCAGCCGTTGTTCTAAAGACATGTACTCCAGAGTTGGCTCCAGTTCTCTCCAAACTCTATAACAATTGCCTCACTGCTCCCTGCTTATTGGAAGTCCTCTTCTGTAGTTCCTGTTTTTAAGAACTGGAGAATCTTCTGACCAAACTATCACCGTATTAGTCTTTTATTACTTTTTGGCAAAGTATTTGAGGCTTTAATCAATGCCTAAGTGCTTAAGCATCTTACCTCTCACAACCTACTCTCTGACGAACAATATGGCTTCCATTTTGCCAGATCTACTGCTCGTATGCTAACGGCCATCAATGAATATGTATATCAAGCTCTTGATAATAACTGGCTCTAGATATCTCAAAAGTGTTTGACAGTGTCTGGCACACTGGTCTTCTATGTAAGCTCCAGGGCTACAGTATTACTGGATGTATTTTATTTAATCCAATTGTTCGTGTCAAATCATGAAATGAAGGTCGTTTTGAATGGGTCACTGCCAGATCCTTTCACATGAACATTGGTGGCTCCCAAGGCTCTATCCTGGGTTATACGCCGTTTCTGATTTTTCAGCAATGATCTCCCTGATATCGTCAGTTTCCAAGTAGGCATTTATACTGATGACACTACCATTTACTCCTGTCTCACTAGCAAGTCTGTAAGAGTTGACAAAGTTAACCTGGCTGCTGCTCTTGAAAAGGACCTCCAATCAGTGGCTAACTGGGGCAGGAAATGGCTCATAAATTTAAATTCCTCCAAAATGACACTGCTCTCATTTAACCATCATAGAGAAAATTTTCTGCCTGTCCTCAGCATGCCGTCCTGGGTATGACAATAAACTACATCCGTGTCCAGGGTAAGATGATAAGCTCCGTCCAACAGCAAGGCCTCTGATCAGGAGGTTTTGAGGAACGTGGAACCACCTCTTAATTGCTGGTGTTCCCTGACCCGGGGTGGTAGCATCTGTTAGGGTCCCAGCTATGGGCAAATAGTTAACACCCAAACTTGTGTAAAAATAGGTTTTAATACCACAAATACTTTGTAATAAAGAAAAATGGTTCAAATATATATGTCTACATACACACCTTTTTTACCAAACTATCGCTATGAATCTATTTTCAAATTTTGTTGGTATTAAATGACCCACTGAGGTTTTGATATGCCATAAAACAAAACAACCAACCAAACTGTCATCAGCATGGCTGTTGTTAGACTCATGGAGAGCAACACACTGTGTCTTCTTGGCCTTATGTTTTCAACTGACTTGAAGTGAAATGCCTACATCAAATTAATAGCTGCATCTACTGCAAGGAAAGTTGGGTCACTGTGTCATGCCAGAAGGTTTTTCTCGTCAGTCCATATTGCACATTTACAAATCTACCATTTATCTGTGCATTGAATACGGTTGCCATATCTGGTCTGGTGCTACTAATACTCATCACAAATTTCTTGACAAAATCCAAAGAAGGATCTGCAACGATCCTGACTTGGCATCTTGACTTCATTTTCTCACCGATGTGATGTGGTTTCTCTCTGTCTTTTCTACAAATATTTTCATGGCTACTGCTCTGACAAGCTTTTTACTCTGGTGCCTGGACTACATGTATGCTGCTAGAATGGCATCTAGGTCCCATCTTTTTACTGTTGAATAAGGTAAATGTAACCACCACTCCCCCCCCCTCAACAGTTTCTTTTCTCACACTTCCTGCATGTGGAACTACCTTCCATTTCCTTGCTTCCCTGATAACTACAATCTTCAAAAATTTAAATGTGGTGTCAATTGCCATCTATCTTCTTGAACCCACCGTTCAGCTTTTATCCTTTCCTCTGTCCCTCCCTATACCCAGTATTTTCTCTTGCCTTCACTTTCTGTAACCACCTGCGTACTAGTGGCATTCCCACCTTGCTTGGGATGAAATGATTAAAAAAAAAAAATAAATAAATAAATAATAATCAGAATTTATTGCATTATTTTTAAGGGAAAAGGCCAAAATGGTCACATTTGTATTTTAGCATTAACTGAGGCTGGTATGTGTAAGCCTGGTTTAGGTTTTCTTCATTGCTGCCCACTGACTTGCACACCTTTTGTTTCTCTTTTAATTAGTTTCTTCCGCCCAAGTATTTCTGGTAGTTGGCATCTTTTTTTTTTATTTTTATTACCAGGAGTTGTAGTATCTGTTCAGCTTAACTTTGGAACAGTAAACTCTTTACTGCATGTGAAAACTACATCTGGTTTGAGTGCCTTTTTTTTCTTTTTTTAATCAACCATGTCCCCCCCCCCACTTCTTTCTGTATTACCTCAAAGTTGTTTGAGCAAGATTCAACACTGTTGTGCATTAGAAAATGATTCAGGGATCAAGATTTTATGTGTCACTGATAGTACAGGGTTATGTAATAATTATCAATGTATATTTATTTGTATATTTCCTGTCCATCATGTAATGGGAATGGAGGTAAATCAACTTAAGTCAGTAGATTTCTGAATGATTGCTTCCCATAGTCATTCTAATAATCTATACCAATAAAATATTTATCTGCATTTAGACAAAATTACTTCCCAAACAAAATGAACCATTTAATTAAACAGTTCCTTTATTCCTGCATTTCTTAGATTGCAATCTTATTTGTTCGAGCTTTTCATATGAGGCATTGGATACCTTTGTTTATTGTCTTGCTTCAACTTTACTTTTTAAATAGGCCTTGTCGCACTATCTTTGTTACTAATCTTTTTCTTCCAAGAGATATTTGCATCTCACATTAAAAATTTTGTTTAATATAAACATAAAATCTTTTGCATGAAAAGTTATATAAAAAAAATCACTTTTTGCTTAATAACTCCAGGAGTAATCAATAAATCATAGATACCGTCAAATATCTAAAAAAAAAAAAAAAAAAAAAATATATATATATATATATATATATATATATATATATATAAAGATTAATTAAACAGTTCATCGGCTTCTATTTTACTTGTGAATTCTTTATTGAATCTCACTACATTGTTTCATTGCATCTATTAAAACTTAACAATTGACATCATTTTTGACAATATTGGTACACTAGTTTACCATAATGTCAATGCATTGCTAGTGAATTTTTTGTATAGAAGCATCACTGATTAGATAAATATTCAGTAGGCAGGAATTTAATTTACTGACAGAATAAAGTTATTAAATGTTTAATGATAGTTCATTCTCTTTCCACAGAATTTTATCAACATAACTGCTGAAAAAAGGAGAACAAGAGCCCGTGCCAAGAACAGGGATAAAAGATCTGTCACTGTCAGCTGTTACTGATTTAGCTAGGGTGGTGATGATGTGTAAAAATTTTTTTTTTTTTTTTTTTTTTTTTTTTTTTTTTTTAATGGAGAGCACAACCAACAGAAGAGGCAAAAGAGGTTGGTGGTGGTGGGGGGGTATGGACAGTGAAAAGAAGGAAAAGAAAGTCCCCAGCATTCCTATCTAGGATTGTAAATACTAGCAGTAATCTCTTGTGTAGCTATTTCTTTTTAATTTAACTTTGTGATGGTGGATCTTTGGGTGTGGTTGTGCCTCATGTCCATCTATCTTGTGTGACCCTCATTCCTTTTCAATTCATAAATTTACTCCTGCCTCTATCCTAACAGTTCATCGTTTTCTTGCTGATGAACCTTTTGCCCTTTCTTTCTCATTCCACATGTTTGATGCTCAACAAACACCAGCAGTTCATGATAAACATCACACAATTGATGACTTTCTTCTTAAATTGCATTAAAAACAAAAACTAACATTCGGCATCTATAAAAATAATTCTTTAAAAAGAGAGGGTGGGGTCTAAAAAAGTGTGTGCATTGAACTATAAAGGAATCTTTATTTATATATATATATATATATATATATATATATATACACACACCCCTCTCTGAAATCAAGATTATAAAATAGAAGATTTTTAGCTACAGCAAATTAATAATCTTTTTTTTATTATTGCAAATCTCTTTTGGATGTCACTCAAATTGAGCAAAAAAAAATTCATATTTAAGCGATGTTAATAAAAAAAAAAAATATCATTTCAACTGTCATTTAATGTTTGTGGGCAGAATTAGATTTTATTTTTCATGCTTGGAGAAAAAAAAGTTTTCTCCTTTTATTTTTGTAGATCTCTTCTCAATCAATGCATCCTTTAAAAAAACAAAAGCCTCTACATTTTGCAGGAGGTATGGTTAGATTTCATTAATATTATATCTACTTTATGTATTTCCTGTTTATTTAAATTCTCCTTATTTCCCCCTCCAATTATTTTCTCTGCCTCATTAAAGAGGATGAAAAAGAAAAAAGAAAAAAGAAAAAAAAAGAAATATGGTGTTTTGCAGCATATAAGAGAAGCTCAAAACTCGCCATAAAATAATGTTAGAACAAACAATTTTTGGAAAATTTTTAACCAACCAGCTCCAGACCCCACACTTATGTGGAATGTCATGCTGCAAAATACAGTATTTCATTTACTTGCTGGTTCTGTTTAATACACACTCACAAAAAAAAAAAAAAATTGTATATCTACATTTGCAAGACTTTAATCATAGGTTTCTCTACCTACCTCCAGAAAAAATATATTTTCAAAAGATTTTTATCCATCTGGTTCATAAAAATTTCTTGGTTGTTGGTAATTCTAATATCACTTGGCATAAATTGTCTATTTACAAAAATGTAATACTTTCCATAAAACCTATTTTCATAGTTTTTTTTTTTTTTTTCCTTTCCCTACTCATTGAACTTAAATGATAAACTTATTTATTCCAGTTTCCATCTTTGTAAACTTCTAATAAAACTAGATGGCTTTTAATTTTTTAAATAAAATCTGTTACTGAGAGCTTCTCTTATTCAAATCTCAGTAAAAGCATTTGTCTATTTTACCCAAATAAATTAAAGTCACTAAGAAGTATTGACTTCTTTTCCAAAATATATAAACATTTAGAATGTATTGTTATTGAAAGAATTGTCTTGTTTCCATGCCAACTCTTTTGAAATACCAAATTCATGTAATGAAAGAAAGTCAGAAGGTAAATATAGAAGTATTAACTTTATATCAACAACCAGTCAACTGATCATTCATAATCACAATCTGCTCGTGGCTATATAATAGTGTGTGGCAGAAATACCTACCACATAATGGTAAGATATTGAAGATAATGTTGTCTTCAATTAGTTAATGTCTTACTATTATGTGGGACATATTTCTGCCACATCCTGAAAAAAAAAAAAAAAAAATACTTTTAATAAATATTAGCTTAACCCAAACTTTAGCTTTCACTCGTTTGAAAACTGAAAAAAAAAATATATTGGGTTCATTAAGGTTTTTTTTTTTTTTTATTTAAATATGAAATTCAAATAACTTTGATTCTGCAGTGTGCCTTCTTAAATAAAACTTTTTTCCTTATATATATATATATATATATATATATATATATATATATATAACAACATTGCTTGGTACATATAACTACAATTAGTATGTCAAATCGTATTTAAATAAAACCAAAAATGATTTATGATTATTTGAAGATAAGTTAATTAAATTAAAAAGAATTTTTTTTTTTTTTTAGTATTTATAAATTAGACAATTAGTTATGGTCATTTGTAACTGAATTCTTCACAACTCAACTACTTATTTTCTCTTTACCTTTATTTCTCTTTACCTTTATTGTTGCTTTTTATAAGCACTCAGTTGATTATAATCTATGGTCATGAAAGTAAAGTTTTGCTGAAAAGAAACATTTTTAAAGCAAATCTAGACAATATCTATTCATTATTCTTGGGTAAATTTGGATTTGGGTGTTTTTGTTTATTCTGGGTCTGTCCCTATTAAAATTACTGCCCTTTTTTTTTTTACCACGTAGAAAAATGTGGATAATAGTCCTCTTGGCCCCAAAATCTCCCACCTCCAGATTTACTGTATATGCTTTCTACGTGTCTGTCTGTCTTTTTTTTTATTACTTTTGTCTCTTTTGCAAAAGTGCATTTTTCCACACTATTATTTTTTGACGATGTGAGAAATGAAGATTCTAGTATGGCATACATTTAAGATATTAGACTGCCAAGAAATAAAATGGTGATACTTTGTAGTATGGCTACGTTGTTTTGTGGTCCAGGAGGAAATCATTTAGCCATAGACTGCAGTTTCAGCTTGTTGAACCACTTCATTCTATTATTTCTCAAAACTTTTGCTACTTAAGAAAAAAAAAATTAGACTCTGAAATTCTAATTAAACACTGCTCAACAGTTAAAGTAACTCAAACTGGAATCACAAATGATTGACAAATGGATAGAAAGACTTGTTGGTCTTTTAATGCTTCTCAGGTGAAATTTTTCATTCCCTTTTAGCTTTGTTAAAGACCATTAATTTTTTTTTTTTCTTAAACATGTTGCTTAGAAATATCAGCTTGAAATGCTTCTTTGCTTTTTTTATCAAATGAAACACTTTTTACCACCCTTCTATACTTGGTAATTTCTTAACTTTTTTATATTATATCTGTCCCGTAATAGTTGCATTTAGTAGTACATGAAATCAGTATGAAAATTTAATGACCATTATGGGACAGAGTAATATTTAATTTGAATGACTGTGATAAAAAAATTAATTATTTTGGCCATATGGTTCGTGCTAGGTGGTGTGGGATTTGTCACTTGATTGAGAAGAAAAAAAAAATTGCTTTCTCTTTGAGATGATTTTTGTATTTCAAATAAACAATTCCTTTGTGTTTGATTGCATTGGGGTTTGTGTTTTTATCATCTCAAAGATTACAATATAAAGCAGTCAATACCCCCCCCCCAAAAAAATACGATTACCTTTATAATTAATAAAAAAATATCAAAAAAGGTGGGAAAGTAATACCAACAATTTGGTAAATCAAGTTTCTTTTATTGACTGCCTGCAAGTGCCTTTCTAAGAATTCTACTCTGGGAAAATCTTTGATTCTAAATCTACATCACTCATTCCATCACCAAAAGTTAAGTAGTGTCAAGCCTGGTCAGTACTTAGATGGGAGACTGCTTAGGAATACTGGGTATTGTAAGCAACCTACAATTCAAAATAAGTTTCGGCTTTAAATAACCCACAATAATTTGATAAGCTAAAAAACATCTAAACTTATGCATGCTTTCAATTTTCTTCACATCAACGGTCATTTTTAACTCTTTCCTGGTGGCTGAACCAGATCTGACTAGCTAAATATAGATTTTTTTTTTTTTTTGGTTTCCATAGAAACAACCAAAACCAGATATTCATGAGTAAAAAATGTCTCTTCTCCCTTTAGAATTTGAACACACACACACATACATATATATATATACTCCTTATATTGCATAAAAAGTGATGACAAAGATATTCTTTGTCTATTTAGTTGAGAATTGGTTAATTTGAATAATGAAGATGGCTACAGCTGAAAATTTTGTAATTTTCAGAAACTCTACCATGTTCCCACAAGTTAACTAAAAAATACAATGAATATTTAGCTCATCACTTATTAAGTCTAAAAGGGAGTTAGCTTATATAGATAACTTAAATTTGAGTTACCTTAAAATTAGTTTTCCTTTAAAAATTTAACCATCTGCACAGAAATAGAAATGGAGGCCCTATTTCTCATGTCATTGTACATAAATGACTGTTTATATAAATCTAGTCTCACATGAAAATACACAACCAAATTTTTAGTTAAAATGTTGTTCATTAATACAAGAAATTTATTTTCCTTATTCATACTGCCCTTGTATTGGGATATTCAAATTTACATGCACGCTCTTCATCTTTGTAATGCTATCAGTACATCATTGGTGTTTGTTGAGTATTGAATTCAGTCTCTCCCCTGCGCCCATCTTTACAAAAGAATACCTACACCCTTGCATTTAGAAACCTTCTCATTGGCATAGAATCTAAAATGATTTTCACATAAAGATTCAATGCTAAGAATTAAATAAAGATGGAAATAGTGTTGGGGAGGGGAATTGCTACTCTGCTGTGCCTAATAGGTTGGTTTGTTTGGGGGGAAGGTCAACTTAAAAAAAAAAAACAGCAACTTAATTTGTTGGGGATGCAATAAGTGGATAGTTTGTAAGTTTGTTTTTTTTTTTAACTAAGAGGGACTTCAAACAGAAGGCACTAACAGTAGCAATTTATTTAGATCTCCTAAGCCCCTCACCAAATAAGATTTGTAAGAAATTTCTACCCTCTTCCCTTAGATTTATTCAGGCTGGGAGAGTATTTATAATTAAAATATAAATACCATGAGTTATTGATACAAAGCTACAACAGTCATTATGTAGCAGTAACTGACAAGACTTTACTAATTGTTCAACAGCAGACCTCTTCACACTCAACAAGTTTAATACAAAACTGAACTTTTAGGCTGTACAATATGCAAATTGGAACTAAGCAGATATGAAAATTGGCATGGCAATGCTTTCGTGGGTTCATTCTATGTTATATTGTTCAGTAATCTTTTCTCTGAAGTGTCTGTAAATGCATAAATATTCGATTGCGTCAACGCTTCTGTGAATTGCTAAAAAAAAAAAAATTTTTTAAAGTTACCAATGCCACAATACACAGGATTAGGTACATTTTTAAATAAAAACTTGTATGAAATCTTTATATAAAAATCTGCATGCAGCAATTAGTTCAAATTTTGACCATGGTTGCTTTGGTTCATTTAACCTCGTTTGGAGGGGTGTGTATGACATACTCCCTCTTCTCCCTGATATCTTCATGCTTTGCCCCTACAA